GTGAGCTAAATATGACTTTTATTCGTGCCCGTCGCGAGACGTCAGATCCTACGGCCGATTTCTCAAAACCGACGAAGTCGACGACCGTTGTCGCAAAAATCTGACGTTGACCAATAACGTTTCGGCATGTCACCGGCTCTTGTCCGTCGATCCGAGAAAGAGCAAACAATACATGAAAATATCAATATCACAAGCATGTAAATGTCATTAATATCAACAATATAAGCATGACGGAGTCGCATGACTCGTTTAAACGTTTATCTATATCCCAACGGTCTACACTGTATCAAAGGTTTGATATCCTTTTTTTCCCGAAACGACTGCAGTGAAAAAAATCGGGATTTGCGTGATTAATTAGCGACTAAACAGGAGATAATTTCTACGCAAGTCCCATTCGATTGTGCTGATTATTGACTCTTTTCCGCGACGCTGATTGATTCTTTCGCTGCGCTAACTTCGTGAGCAGTTGTCATTACATTGACTTTTGACAGTTGTATGTATTGAGGTTGATGTATAATTATAGTCAATTATAGTAAAAAGTAAATGTGCAATTAAATAGCGCGCGCGAAGCGCGCGTCTGTAGTGCTAGTATCTAAAAAAGGCATGTAAAGTCGATTACTTTCATTTTTCGAATTTATTGATGTCGCTTTTCTACGATGCTGATTGGTTCTTTTGCTACGCTAACTTCGTGTGCGGCTGTTATTGCATATTTTGACAGTTGTGTGTATTGTGGTTGATGTGTAATTACAAATTATAGTAAAAAGTGTTAAATAGCGCGAAGCGCGCGCCTGTAATGCTAGTACTTAATATTAAATTGCGTATTATTTACCACAATGATTTCGATTGCCTTTTTTCCTTGTTAAAAAAAATATTATATAAAAGTATATACAAGAATGGAAAAAAGTATGAAACCTTTTTTTATCAAAAAACCAGCAATTTATTGAATTCGCTCGACCTATTACTGTCTAAACAATCTTGTAATAATCTTTGTATGTAAATTCGAATAGTTTACAATTTAGCTTACAAGCTTGATTTAAATTTCCTAACTATATGGACCATAATTATGATATTATATAGTCATTATGATATTTTCAAGAAATGCAATAGCATTATATAAATTAAGGCTTCTGACTACTCACAATCAGCCAAGAACTTCGCCTTGACGGTGGCGACACTATAGACCTGTTCTTTATAGCTGAACTGGCTGCACTGAGTCGGAGTTTATCTTTCTTCTTCTAATGTAGAAAAGAAAGATAAACTGTGAACTAGTGCAGCCAGTTCAGCTACAAAGAACTGGCCTGATATCGCGGTAGGAATTAGAAGCTTATTTGTCGGTACTAGACGTATTCTTTAATACGTCATATGTCGGTGCCATAAGTCGTAAATCGTAAGAATTCTACAAAATATATCGTATGTCCATATCGTAAGTATAGTAAGAATTGATCAATCACAGTCGAATGTGAAGTGAATACTTGACTTGAAGAGAATAACGGACCTTACTGTGAAAAGTGTTACTGTGACGACGAATTTTGTCTTACGTATTGTTATTATGTGTGCTTTGTGAAAATGTGAACCTGTCTCGTACTTATCAAATTCGTAAAAATGGATGGAAACTAAAGTCATTTTTTAATTTTAAACAGAAGAGCATATTTTTCACTTCTTTCAAAAGCTGTCAAATCGTGTTCTCGCCTGATGAATAGGTTACACTTTACGTGCCCTGTACGAATGTTTACTGACTGTCAAGGAGGAAAAGGATTCCGTCCGATTTTACAAGTTTTTTAAAGCGATCCTATTTTTTTATTTTATTAAAATTTTCTTTATTTAAAAATGGCACGCAAAAAACTTTTATGTGTCATTTCCCGTTTATAGTATGCTTATGTCACAATTCCAATATGGTTGCGTGACTAATCAAGTTTAATATTACACTTTCAGAATTAATTGCAATTTTTTATATAATTTTTCCAATTATAATATATCAAATATTACTCATATGCACATTTTCCTCTATTTTTTATATAAGAGTGGGAGTTTCAATATACTAAGAACTGATAATGACGCAAAATCTGTTTCTTTTCTTTAGATCTGATTTCAGAGACTATGAGATAACACATGCAGTGACTGACAGTGTTAATTCAGGAACGGTTCACTAAAGTCGTGTGCATTGTGTGTCATGAACGATTAAGTAAGATTCTCTGTTCTTAAATCAAATTTTGTGAAACTTTGACTTTCTAGTAACATAATTTGTGCTTCAGACTCATCTAGATTTATCTAATTTTCACATAAACTTTTTAATTACGATGCTCGTGTGTTAATGCACGCTTTTGCCTTGATAAATAACAAACGGTTTATAGTGTTCATAAATTTTATGTAGGATAATCTAAATCTTATTACGAATATAACATTCGTAACAATTTTTTATAAATAATCGTATTTTTAATATTTATGTATTCAATCAAATATTGAAATATATTTGCAGTAAATCACGCGGAAAACATTGCATTGCAGTAAGTGCATAGTAAATTGCATACGATTAAAATAATCGCTTCTAGAACAGCATTTACATGAATTATTTATGAGCATTAATAAATGTAAGATTTATTAAATTACATTGCGTAAAATAAGCAGTAAAATTTTTGACTGATAATGGCTACACGATGTGTTATCTTTCAGATCGAAGTGATATGTAATCACTTTGTGCTATAGAACTGAAAACAAGTTGATTTTTATCCAGGCGACTCGCGATCAAACGCCAGTTGAAAAATCATAATTCAACTGTTTAAACGTTTTTGTAGTAACCATCGCAGTTAGACTATGCATGATGCAAATTTATCTGGTTGCAGGCTATAACTGACACATTAAAAAACATCATTGACGTCATTGTCGTTACGAAGAAGTCAACAATACACCAGGTACAATTATATAATTTTCCTTGTTCTTACAATCGTGTCATTTACTATTTACTGTATTACTCATATAATATACATTCATACATATAGCTCGGCACTAGCTGATATGAAGAAATTAATATCAAGATAAAAGAAAAGTCTAGAGTAAATATAAAATCAGATAAAAATAATCAGATAAAAATAGATTAAAAAATATATAAAAGAGCTGGGGAGAGGGAAGATACATCTATGGTAGAGTACCCTATTACTATTATTAAACCTTAATTACTAGAAAATTCTAAGATAAAAAAATAATAATTTGTATTAACATTTTTGTCTTTAGCAATTATTTTTGCACTGAAACTTTATCCAAAAAAAATTGTTCTAATCTAATTAGGAAGATTTGAGCTCTAACTTGAAATGTCTTTTATTAAAAATATAATTTGCACTATCGAAAAAAAATTCATGTGATTTCTCAAGATTACTATTAAGATTATATTACTCTTGATATATGAGTTTTTAAAGAAACAGAGAAAAGTTATCATACGAAAATATTATACATTTATATATATCTATAATATGGCTCGATATAAAATATTTTTATGAATCGTTGATACGTGTGGAAAACTTGTTTTTATGCTAATGGCGTCATTTTCGTATCACGCATGACCACGAAGCGTATAATTCATTATAAGAATTGCTTCCGGCCGATGATAAACAGGAAGAGATAAAAATGCTGGCCAAAAGTTACTTACCTGAATCTATAGAGATAAATCATGATATGGATTCGATATCGTACCTGCGTATGAGATATAATTATAAAAACGTTAAATACATTAAAATATATCACGTTATCGTGTGAAATATTCTGGATATTCTTTTTATCATAACATGTTAAATATCTCCGTTGTCTTTAATAAAAGTGTAACGAATAACGTTATTCGCATTTTAACTGTTTTAAGTGACAAATATAATTGACAAAAATACAAATGAAATTAAAGGATTAAACGAGCCCACCGAGGGTGGGCAAAGTTTAACCCTGATTATTACGAAAAGTCTCGTTCGAAGATAATCCTTTACACTTGTTGTCATCGAGAACGAGACTTGTAGTATAATAAGAGTATACATAATACCAGATGAAGGACCAAATCACAATATGCATATATTATCTATTTGTACTGTCTAAAAGTGAATCAGTAAAATCATTACTAATTATCAGTGTATATTATTTTCCAGTGGCATACTTAGAACTGTGATAAATAGTGACTATTTCAATGTCGCTTCAGTGATAATACACTGATTTAAACAGTAAATATTACTGAAAGACAGTGAATTTGACTGTTTGATAGTGAAATTCTCTGTCTTTCAGTGATATTCACTGTTTAAATCAGTGTATTATCATTGAAGCGACATTGAAATAATCACTGTTTATCACAGTTCTAAGTATGTCACTGGAAAAAAATATACACTGACAATCAGTGATGATTCCACTGATTCACTTTTAGAGAGTAAGTTGAAACTGTCATAGATATATAAAACACGTGGACACGCATACATTTTTGTATTAAATATATAGCAATTTGTAAAATAAATTATACTTTTATTTAAGTAACATACACACCGATGCAAGTAAATAATACATATGCACCACAGCGTTATATGTATACAGGGTGTACCAAAATTGACGATAAATATTTTAATAACAGTTCTTAGTGTTAAGACAAAAAGTCTAATACGAAAATGTCGAGACTAAAATAGTTTTCAAATAAAAAGAGTTTAAAGATTGCCTCCAATAATTTCTTTTTTTTTAAGAAAAACTTGTACATCTTGTTTAATTCTTCTCTCTTTCTCTTTCAGATTTTGCGATAATTGTTACAGCGTCGTACTTGCGCGACGCAACATAAACATGCAGAATAGACCAAACGTTTATACAATAAACGACGCGCCACCTTCATACACGGAGGCAACAGGAGCGTCTAATGCACAAGATACGCACAATCCACAGTTCGATCAAAGACATCCACATATAGTAGCCTATCCGTCACCTTCGGCGCCGTTACCGAATCCGTACATGTCTAATTATTATCTGGACAGAGCGCCTGTTCAATCGGCTTACCCGCCTTTGGCGGAATGGCGAAGTCAACCAACGAGCCTAACTTACAATAGAACATTAATAACACCACCTAGACAAAACGCATGTAAGTAAAAATAAATATTATAGACAATGACAAAAAGCAAAGTACACCACAAAAAAAATGCTATTAAAATTTGCTACATTTTTTAAATATAATCAAAGGAAGATTTACTTAATTTTAAAATGTCAGAAAATGTTAAAATAATTATCATCTTGTGAATAGATGTATTAAATAGAAATGAAATATTCAACTCTCTTACAAAATAAATTTTGTCGTGACAGTTATATGCTTTATAGTCCATTCATATTAAGTTACTGCGTTTAAGAATTTGTATGTGCGTATATACTGCATACAATCCAATTCTAATACTTTAATAATTTTTTTCATTTGTTTTAGCATGCGGCGTATGTTTTATTAAATCGGCAGTAACGATAGGTATGTTCGTACCAGTAATAATTATTCTTGTATGGATTTTTAATTGATAGAGTATAAGTAATTAAGGAAAGTATAAAACGTGTATTATATATATTATATTATAAAAATGCATTAAATTATTGTATCAACAAATTAATTCATACGTAATTGTAGTTAATTTTAAATCCTGTAATTCGTTTTATTTATAGTAACTGCAAATTTATTTTGATTCTTTCATGTAATTAAGAGCTCAATGTAATACAAATGTAATACAAATGTAATTTTAAATATCTATTTATTATATATAATCTTAAATCTAGTAGAACTCTTGTGTGTTTTTATTTGAGAAATGAGTTTCTTATTGCGACTTCTTTCAATCGCATAATTGTTCCGACAAATGAATATTCACAAGGAAATACGATAGCGATTATAAGAATACATTATAGACATACACTATATAAGCGTCTATTTACATTGCTTTATTTAACTATCTATCTACAACCTAGTTTATTATACATGTAGAGAAGACGGGGGCTAAGAGTTCCGAGGGGTAAGTTGTTCTGATGATTATATATATCTTTAAAATGAAAAGAGTTAGCGTTGTGTTTTCAATTGTTTTCGTCGCATGATTGACTTAGGCGATGAAAAGAATTGAAAATAAAATTTAATAACATTTATATTTTTGAAGAAATTAATCATCAGAACAATTTACCCCCGGAACTTTTAGCCCCGGTATCCCGTATTCTCTCTAATTTGAATATATGAGGAATTTTTCAATTCGCAAAAAAAAGGTTATCTATTTTTAATGGCATCTCTTGCACATGCCAATAATGACTTTCACATATCGTGGAAGTATTTCTGTCACCAATTGTTGTAGTTGTTATGCAAAAACTCGCTATAAAATGGGTCATTGCCACCCATGAAGCAACGGAACGATAAGAATCGCCCTTCCACGCGCGCGTCATAATTCCTTCATTTTCCTTCGTTCCGCATAAAAGAACTCATAACGCCTATTCACGGCGACGTTACACCGTGTAAAGTAACGCAGTGATGAGAAAGGGAAGGAAGAAGGGGGAACGCGCGAAGGTTGAAACGTTAACGCGGCCCTTTATAATACAAGATCGCGGTGTAACAAAATCCTATGTTGCACGGCAGTCTCGTATGTGTCCCAGCGCGAGCATTAAAGACATCGGTCGATGTAGGCGGAAGCCCCGCAGTATAAGTAACGACCATATTTCGCAGCTATAACAAAACGTCACATACACGTTGGAGGGTGGAAGGGGCGACGGGGAAGAAAGGTGGAAAGGCCGGCGCGCGCGAGAGGGCCGCTTTTATTATTGGCGCAATAAAACCCTGGTAACTGAGTAATAATTTAAAAGTTGAACGCCCCGTTCAGCTCGAGCACCTTCGGCGCCGCGCCGCTCCGAGATGAGAGCCTGCGATCGACGTACGGCGTCCAACGCGACGATATCCGCGCCAATAAGTGCGACCGGCGGAATTCGCGAATATTCCGAGCTACACAATCCGTAGCTGCAGCGGTGTTGGTTTTATTGCAGTTTGTCATAAATCGTATGTTTTATTGTTTTAAAATCATGTTGGAAAAATATAAAAGAGCGCCTAAGCTTTCTGATATAAATTTGATAGGAAAGAATGGAGAGGAAGAAAATTGAAAACTTAAAGATACGAGCGTATGAATGATTGTTTGTCACATTTGATGATGTTTCATTCGCGCAGTAATTAGATTACACAAATTGGAATATTAACTTTCAAAATTTATCAGTTTTTTTTACGTAAGACAAAAATTAATCCTTGTAAACTGATGTACAGCAAATAATTTTCCGCATTGTGTTTTATATGTCAATACTAAGAAAAATTTATTGTGCAAAATGTACCAGAAAAATGTAAGTTCAATAATAGATACACATTTTCAACAAATTACGTATAAAATATAAAATGAAATATTTAATTCTGTTGGCAGCCGCGTGTAGACAAAATTATTTAATAATTCATTTATGTAATGTATAGAATTTCACATATGACATGCCGTTTAATATAGTAATGCGTTACAGCGAGGGTAAATTTTGCGCAAACTACTCATTTCATATCCGTCAAAAATTACAAGCGGCGTAATTAATTTGTACGACGACGTGAATTGCAGAATGAGGCTTGTCGAAAGCTCATCGCGCTCCTCGCTCGTCGACGGGGAATTTACGAGGCAGCTTTTGTGCGATTCCGACGAAAATCGATCAGAAAAACTTGAATAAGTGCGAAGGACGCATTGTCGAACGGGCGAAGAATACGGGAATTGTCGTTAGCCTCCCCCTTTTCCCCCTGGTGACACGTCTGAGTTGTGGAGCGAAGAGATGGGGACTAGATATACGGTCGGACGTTGAGAGTGTAACAAGGTTTTCCGTTATCGAGTCTAAGATATCTCTTAAAAAAAACGAGCGCCGATCGCGATGCATCTCCGCGTTACTATCGAGGGACCAGGGTGAAAAGAGGGGGGGGGGAGGGGAATGGTTGGGGAATGCGAGGAAAACGCGGTTCCGCTCGCGCCTCGCGCGTAAAAATAGATCTTCCTACGGAGCCACCGCCGCCGCCGCCGCTGCCGCGCTGCTGGAATTCGATATCGCTTGTATACGCTGCACTCCCGCATCTCGTTGTGAACGTAAAACGAATTAAATATTTTCTCGCAGCGGGCGGCCCGAAGAATTCCAATGTAACAACGGCGCGGCGCCGCGCGCATATCCGTGGATTTCGTTCGCGAATTAAAATTAATAGAACGCCTATCGGAACGGAATGATTGCACGCTCGCGTGTGCATTCACTCTCTGGTTACCATGTACGAGTGCGCGTTACATAGCTCGAGATTATCGTTACGATCGATCGAACCGATACCTGAGCGTGTACATAGAGAGGATTTTAAATGACTGTTGGAAAAGTAGGTTTTTCCCGGCTCCGCGCCGGACTTTCAAGCTCGCCGCGGCGAGATGTGGGCTCACGTGGGCTTAACGTTTTTACCGTACCTTTTTCCGATAATTAATGTTCGTCCCTGCGCGCCTGCAAAGCGAACGAAAGGGACAAACGCGAAAGAGAGAGGCAGATCAGATTAATGATTGTTTTACTCGCTCGTCATTATGTGAAAGGCGACGCCGGTTATCGCCGGAAGCGAGATAGCGGAAGGGAGAACGGGATGGAGAAAGTGGAAAGGACGTGTCAGACGAGAAATCAAAGAGTGTCGTGCGTCCAACCCTGGGGAAGGAAAAAGGGAAAAAGTCGGAACAGAATTGGAGAATGAAGTGACGCTTTCGTTTTACACGAATTATTTTTTGGACTTTGACAATAAAGAAAATATATGTTGAGTTAAAACGGTCTTCGCAATGGCTCGTCGTGATCAAATTCCAATGCATAGTATTCTTACTATGTTGTTTAAGTCTTATTAATATTGTAATTAATAATTAATTGTTCATAATTAATATCGAGAAAAATTCATCAATATATTTTTGCATATTTAATAAAGATTAGAATATAGATTCTTTTCTATTTCTATTTTTAGTTATTATGAGAATATGCTGTTGTTTCAAGATATAAACAACGACAGGATGTAAACATTATATGACATAAAATTAAATATTTCATCAAATTAAAATTTGTAATCGTATATATATATATATATATATATATATATATATATATTTTGTCATATATATATTGTTAATTATATTGTCAATTTGAAAGTTATTTATGTATGTAAATATTATCATATTATTGCTGTTAAACATATAATATTTAATAATGTTAATAAGTGTGTATCAATTATCAATAATGATATAATGATAATAGATAAACGATATTACTTGGTAATAGTCAGCTCCGAAAAGCTCTTATGCAACAAAGGAATTGATTCATATGCAATCTGTAAATTTTGAATAAGGTGAATTAATAGATGACTATAGAATCCTCAGAAATATTTTCAATTATTGAGAAAATCATCGGAAAAGCCTAGTCCGAAAACAAAAGGAACAAGAAAGTATAATAATCTAAACATTAGAAGAGATAGCAGGACCAAAGGAGAAAAAGACTACGTGATAGGTCAGTTTGAATCCCGAGCAGGCTTATTTGGCTTGAATCTGACACCGAATTTAATCAGAAAGTCATGATCGAGTCAATGTTTGTTCCAATTCATTATCGTTCCTTTCCGTGTGATTAGATATCGAGCGACTTTATAGGTCGTATAGAAGAAACTTTGTCTTCTTTTCATTCGAAATATTTCCCGAATACGAGAGACGTTGTCGTGTCGCTAAAACGAGCGACAAAGTGGTTTTATTGAAACGGAAAATCCCAATCGTTGAAAATACTGTAAATCGACGGCACTTGAGAAAAGAATCAATTCATTTAGCAAATAGCTCATTCAAAATAAGATATATTTTTCTGTAAAGCAACTAGTATGTTACCTCATTTGCACAGTTTATTTTGTGTGAATCAAATATAATAATATTATATAAAATAAATAATAATATAATTTAATAATATAAATTCTGAACTTATGAAAAATATAAAAGGATCCGTAAGTAGATCAAATGTTAAACTCGAAATAAAACATTGAAAAGTTATTCAAAATGTGTTTTAGTTATTCTATAGTTCAAATACAAATAAATTTATAGGTCGAAAAATTCTGCGTGCGAAAATATTTTTGAAAACAATACATTATACTTCAGCAAACGTGTTAAATCAAATTGATCATATGGAGAATATACTATTCCATTTTACAAATGAAAAGTCAGCACTTCTTTGCCACGAACGTTTTACTAAAATTTATAGGACAGCTTTCGGTAAATTTGTTGAAACTCGCTCTCTCGCGTTAAAGTAATTAATTCGACATGCATGTTTTACTACAAATGCCGGCGTTTCGGAAAGTTGCGGCAGCGAGCGAAACGGACCGCATCGGAAAATTATGTAGCCGGGCGCGCGACACAATGACGAACGAAAGTGACCACCACGTCACAGCCCCCCGGGAAAGCCTTAATCCAACATAAACCGATATAAACTTCAAAACTTATATACCGCTGTAACGGCGTGGCGAGGACACGTTTGCGCGGACCCTCGAAATGGAAGTGGCGTGGTCGCTGCGAGTGCTAAAAGGGGTTGAACGGACGTGAGAAGTTGGTGGATGCGGTCGTTGGAGGGCGGCAGGGACTGGGTTTGGGTTGGGTTTGGCAAAACGTGCCCGCTCGTCCAAGTCGCCGCAATCGTTTCTTTTCTTCTTGCCTAGCCGCATTTACGCTCTCCTAGCCCTTCAACTCTCGCTTCGGCCCCCGTCTTC